CTTCAGTTGGGCACCTGACCACCTGCCCCTCAGCCAACCACGGTAGGCTCAAGCCCTAATACCCAAAGACGCAATGGAGGCCTCAGGGCTCAGTGGTATACACAAGTGTAGTGAATGAGGGTGGGGGGGGGAGGGTGTACATGATGAGCTGCAGGATGAGTGAGAGTGAGTGCGGGCCAGAGAGGGAGCGTGGGGCTTGTGAAGACCTAATGAGTGAACTGGGAGGTGGGAATGAGGTGGTGCGGGTGTACCTTGCAGCTCCTGGTCCCGGTTCAGACCTGGTAAAAGGGAGCAACACTACAGGCCATCTGGGCCACACCCAAGGTCACCCAGGCAGGCAAGCTGCAGGTGTGGCCCCACTCCTGGCTGTGATCTGACAGGCCACAGTGAGCCACACTCTGGCCTGTCACAGCACAGCCACTAAGCACAGGAACAGCGCCGCCTCCTTCCCAAAAGTATAAAAATACTCACAGCACAGCAGGCAAAACTACATTTTTGTGGATAAGCAGTTTAATATTTATATATTTTGTCTTAGCTCTACATTAAAATCAAATAAAAATTTAAGGAACGTGTTTATCAACAGGAAAAGTAAACCAGTAATATTTGAATTGACTAATCTAATTTGGAAGATAAAATATTTGTGTATAAGCAAGAATCAATTTAAAATTATCAAAAAATAGCAAAAACTATTCGAATTTCTAAAGATACCATTCTTCTAAAAACTAAAGCATGGTTATTTTAGAAAATACATAAAAATATGTCAATACAAATATTCATGAAATTTATAATGTACACACACACACTCATACGCACGCGCGCACACACGCACACACCATACAGTTGAGAGGCGGGACCAAAGAGCCAAAGCTCAACCCCCGCAAGCACAAATAGGTGAGTACACACACACACACATACACACACAGCCAGACAGGAGCCAGAGAATAACAGTCGGGGGCGAGAAGTCAGACTGGCAAACCATAACGAGTGGAGTACCTCACGGATCGGTGCTGGGACCAGTTCTGTTTCTATTATATGAGAACGACACATGTCTACAGGATTCGAGTCCAATATGTCAATGTTCGCGGATGACGCAAAATTAATGAGACGAGTTGTGACAGATGAGGATTGTAAGATACTCTTAGAGGCCTTGACCTAGATGCAGAGATGGTTAGAGAAATAAATGGCTACTGAAGTTTGACACGAGCAAATGTAAAGTGATGGAAATAGGATTAGGTGACTGGAGACCAAAGGGTCAGTACATAATGAAGGGAAATTACCTTCTTGTGACGACTAGAGAAAGGTACCTGGGAATGGACGTAACACCAAATCTAACTCAAGACATATAAATTGGATAACGACAGCAGTGTACTCTACGCTAGCAAAAGTTAGAACGACATTAAGAAACCTAAGTAAGGAGGCATTCAGAGTACTTTACACTACGTACGTGAGACCAGTCTTAGAGTATTCAGGCCTATATTATAGGCCTGAAGAAAACACATTAGGAAACTGGAAAAGGTTAGAAAATTTGAGCCTATGAACCTTGGTGTGGTAGCTTATCTATACCATATGGTTGCAGTTTGTGTGGCGGCCCTTCGTGCGGCACCTTATGAGAAGCTTCAGAGAAGTTCACGCACACTACATCCACTACAAGGTCTTGGCCTCTCTACTTAATTACGGTTTCCAAAAATGCAAGTTAGTTAGGCAGGTTTAATTTTGTTTTGTACAAAAGCATGTTGTGTTGACTATATGATTGTGCTCTGCGAGATGGTGGATGATGATCTCTCTTCTCACGCTTCTCTCAGTGAGCTTGGAAAAAGCTTATTGGCCTGTAGCTTACTGGTGAATGTTTTCTACTTTCCTTGAAAATATAAGTTATATTTCAATATTTCAAATCTAGAGGAGCTTTTCTTAGTCTCGGAACTTTCAATAAGAGTTTCTTCAATAGTGGCACAGCTCGTCGGCCTTCGCAAGTAACGGGGATATCTCTTAGCTTATTTTCTCCTGCGTTAAACATATGTTAATGTTGAGATTTTGGATACTCTGGGAATTCTTGTGGGAACACTGATGGAAAGGCTTCATTCAGTGTTGGCCGCCATTTTTGTGTCAGTTAAAACTTGGTTGGTCTCATCTCTTACGGGTCCTATTATGACTTTTGTCTTGGTTCTACTCCTATATATTGGAAAGAGAAAAAATTATATATTAATTTTCTTTTATAGTTTCTTTGGCTAATCTGCCATTTTGGGTCGCTGCATTTAATTTTTTTTTTGCATATTTAATCATTTATGTGACCTCTGGTTGGCTGATACGTCCTCCAGAGGTTGACTTAGTTGTTCCAATTGTTTGGAACACCTGCCTTTGTCATCAGAGTATTTGTTTCACACTTCACTGCCTTAACCTGGGAGTGTGTTACTGCACCCTGCACACTCTTCTTCCCTACACCGCTCCTTCGGCTCTGTGTCTGCTTCACGCTGGACACATATACGCTTACTTCTAACTCACTGATAGTGACGGTTGAGCACACTACCTCTAGCTCAACCTTAAGAAACCCATTCAATAACGTCCCATTCAAGAGACTACTCTAGAAATTATAATAAATATCACTAGTGCTCTGTGGTTGGTTGAGAAGAAATATGAGAGATAAGAGGTAATGAATAGGACGGCAGGAATGTCACTAGTGAGGTCCACCAAGGCTCGCTACAACACCACAAACGTTCATTGGACATATAAATGACGTATCATATGTAATGTACACTTATATGAACATGATTGGGGAAGAAGTTTAGTTGACACAAACACCTAGACGACCCGCATCTCCTTCAAAATGACGCAATGAATTGTAAATGGAATTTACTGCGGACATATACCATGTAACGGAAAGAGTGAAACCTGCTAAACCTTACACAATACTGAGGAACACTGGGCAGCTCTCTGGAAAGTTGTGGAACTAGAGAAAGATCCTGGATTGCAAACTGACACCAAAGCTCCGCATCAACGGCATTTTGCCCAATTGCAGAAATGATTTCAAATTTTCTACAAGATTGAAATTTAAAAAAAAATATCCGTGACGCACGTGACATCAAAAATAAGAGTATGCAGCAGCTGCATGGTACCCATGTCTCAAATACACACATCAAACAGAAAAGGTGGGAAGACATGCAAGTAAATGATCTCTGCACATAAACAATAAAAGCACGAGCAAATAAACGCGCCAAAATATACTTGGCAGAAGGATATGATCACCGCAAATAATATAATGACAGGAATCGATAAACTTTTTTATCATGAATTTTTGAAATCACAACATTGAGAAGAAAAGATGATATATTTAAATAAAGTTTCAATAAATAGTATGAAAGTTATGCTTTTCAAAGTGCAAAGTGGATGGAACAAATGTAATGGATGGGAAGTGTATGGTAAAGTGAGGGCAGGTTGGCTGCCTGAGGTGAGAGATGAGACATGGGACTCCACGAGGGCAGCACTCATACTGTACCTGCACCAACCTCACCTCACAGCCAACACCTCACACCCAGCTATCCTCACAGCCAGCTATCCTCACAGCCAACACCTCACACCCAGCTATCCTCACAGCCAACACCTCACACCCAGCTATCCTCACAGCCAACACCTCACACCCAGCTATCCTCACAGTCCACACCTCACACCCAACACCTCACAGCCAGCTATCCTCACAGCCAACACCTCACACCCAGCTATCTTCACAGCCAACACCTCACACCCAGCTATCTTCACAGCCAGCACCTCACACCCAGCTATCCTCACACCCAGCTATCCTCACAGTCCACACCTCACACCCAACACCTCACAGCCAGCTATCCTCACAGCCAACACCTCACACCCAGCTATCTTCACAGCCAACACCTCACAGCCAGCTATCCTCACAGCCTACACCTCACAGCCAACACCTCACACCCAGCTATCTTCACAGCCAACACCTCACAGCCAGCTATCCTCACAGCCAACACCTCACAGTCAACACCTCACACCCAGCTATCCTCACAGCCAACACCTCACAGCCAACACCTCACAGCCAACACCTCACAGCCAGCTATCCTCACAGCCAACACCTCACAGCCAGCTATCCTCACAGCCAACACCTCACACCCAGCTATCCTTACAGCCAACACCTCACAGCCAGCTATCCTCACAGCCAACACCTCACACCCAGCTATCCTCACAGCCAACACCTCACAGTCAGCTATCCTCACAGCCAACACCTCACACCCAGCTATCCTCACAGCCAACACCTCACACCCAGCTATCCTCACAGCCAACACCTCACACCCAGCTATCCTCACAGCCAACACCTCACAGCCAGCTATCCTCACAGCCAACACCTCACAGCCAGCTATCCTCACAGCCAACACCTCACACCCAGCTATCCTCACAGCCAACACCTCACAGCCAGCTATCCTCACAGCCAACACCTCACACCCAGCTATCCTCACAGCCTACACCTCACAGCCAGCTATCCTCACAGCCAACACCTCACAGCCAGCTATCCTCACAGCCAACACCTCACACCCAGCTATCCTCACAGCCAACACCTCACACCCAGCTATCCTCACAGCCAACACCTCACACCCAGCTATCCTCACAGCCTACACCTCACAGCCAGCTATCCTCACAGCCAACACCTCACACCCAGCTATCCTCACAGCCAACACCTCACACCCAGCTATCCTCACAGCCAGCTATCCTCACAGCCAACACCTCACACCCAGCTATCCTCACAGCCTACACCTCACAGCAAACACCTCACAGCAACACCACACACACATCTCCAGTCTTATACACATACAACACTCACCAACCACACCAAAAGTCACTCTACGTGCTTTTTCTTCCCTTTCTATCGTTCACTTTTGTTCTCTCTCCCCTTCCCCTCATCTCTCCCTTCTCTTCCTTCCTTTCCTCTCTCACTGCCCCCCCCCTCTCTCTCTCTTTCTCCCTCGTGTCCCGCCATTGTGGTGGGGTCGTACCTCCGACCCAGACGCAGAACCTGAGGAAGTCTAGGTAGCGCTCTCCCTCCACGGGGTCCCAGCCCAGGTCAGGGTAGCCGCGCTCCACCAGCTCACTGTTGCTCTGCAGGCCACATCTTGAGAGGTACACGGCGATCTTTTCCAGGTGATGCTCCCTGTTGATCAACACAATAACGTCAGACAAACTTGCTAGTAACTCTAGAACAGTCACGCATGCCTTGTTTGTCTTCATATGCATAAATATTTTATAACTAAAATTATTTCATTACTTGCAAAAGATTTTTAATATATTATTTTCTGTAACTAAATTATGTTAACCATAAATTCAGACAAGAAACATAAAATACAAATGACTTCGCCAGAAACAAAAAGAATTAAGAATAAATATGACATAAATGAAGTTAGAGGAGGTTGTGTGGAGCATGCAAGTGGGATGGTTGACGCCCCACAGAGGTGGAGAGGGTGTACCAGGCGGTGAACTGGAGCAAGTACTAGGGCGGCGGAGGACAGGTACCTGAGGGCTAGGGCTAGCTCGGTGTTGTCCATGAGGGAGGAGTAAGCCACGTCGAGGGGAGTGGTGCCTCGCAGGGACGGCCGCGACAACAGGATGTAGGAGTTCTCCAGCAGGAAGGGCAGGTGGTCGAACATGGCCTTTTGGTTCTGGCGCCCCGTCCGGCAGAAGTAGCAGAGGAACTTGCAGCACGCCACCACCATCTCGTGCGACGTGTCCTGCGCCGGGACACACACTCACGTCACCTCACAGCTCATACCTACTCCCACTTTAAAAGGGCTACCACAGCACTTATGACATTTTCCCCATGTCGATCATTAGTCTAATACTCTCAAGAATTTTACGTTGATTTTACTTATATCATGAATTAAATATCAATTATTTAAATCTTGTCTAACTTTAGATGACTATAAGTTACAACATATTATACAGTGAATATCTATATGACATTTACATTAAATGCACAGAACTGAGAAATCTGATTCTTTGCATTAAAAAATATTATTCATAATATAAAATATATATACAACACATCAATTGTATTTTCTTATAATTAAAAGCAAGATAATATACGAATCAAGCAAATAATTGTTAAAGTTATATATCAGACATAACAACTCTACGGATCATGCCTATAATAAGATTAAATAACGATAGCCATGACAGTGAAATATATTACAAAGAAATGATATGAACAGAATGCCAAGTCCTTTAGTGGTATTTCTGAGCAAAGGTCAAGATTTTCTGTAAGCATGTTTACTTCCCGTCACAGTACTAGGACACCAGAACCGTCCTTCCCATCACGGTACTAGGACACCAGAACCGTCCTTCCCGTCACGGTACTAGGACACCAGAACCGTCCTTCCCGTCACGGTACTAGGACACCAGAACCGTCCTTCCCGTCACGGTACTAGGACACCAGAACCGTCCTTCCCGTCACGGTACTAGGACACCAGAACCGTCCTTCCCGTCACGGTACTAGGACACCAGAACCGTCCTTCCCATCACGGTACTAGGACACCAGAACCGTCCTTCCCGTCACAGTACTAAGACACCAGAACCGTCCTTCCCGTCACAGTACTAAGACACCAGAACCGTCCTTCCCGTCACAGTACTAGGTCGCCAGAAACATCCTTCCCATCACGGTACTAGGACACCAGAACCATCCTTCCCATCACGGTACTAGGACATTAGAACCGCCCTTCCCATCACGGTACTAGGACACCTGAACCATCCATCCCGTCACGGTACTAGGACACCAGAACCGTCCTTCCCATCACGGTACTAGGACACCAGAACCATCCATCCCGTCACGGAACTAGGACACCAGAACCGTCCTTTCCATCACGGTACTAGGACACCAGAACCATCCTTCCCATCACAGTACTAGGTCGCCAGAACCATCCTTCCCATCACGGTACTAGGACACCAGAACCATCCTTCCCATCACAGTACTAGGACACCAGAACCGTCCTTCCCATCACAGTACTAGGTCGCCAGAACCATCCTTCCCATCACGGTACTAGGACACCAGAACCATCCTTCCCATCACAGTACTAGGACACCAGAACCATCCTTCCCATCACAGAACTAAGACACCAGAACCGTCCTTCCCGTCACAGTACTAGGACACCAGAACCACCCTTCCCATCACAGTACTAGGACACCAGAACCATCCTTCCCATCACGGTACTAGGACACCAGAACCATCCTTCCCGTCACGGTACTAGGACACCAGAACCGTCCTTCCCATCACGGTACTAGGACACCAGAACCATCCATCCCATCACAGTACAAGGGTGCCAGAACCGTCCTTCCCATCACAGTACTAGGACACCAGAACCGTCCTTCCCGTCACAGTACAAGGATGCCAGAACCGTCCTTCCCATCACAGTACTAGGACACCAGAACCGTCCTTCCCGTCACAGTACAAGGATGCCAAAACCGTCCTTCCCATCACGGTACTAGGACACCAGAACCGTCCTTCCCATCACAGTACTAGGACACCAGAACCATCCATCCCATCACAGTACAAGGATGCCAGAACCGTCCTTCCCATCACAGTACTAGGACACCAGAACCATCCTTCCCATCACAGTACTAGGACACCAGAACCATCCTTCCCATCACAGTACTAGGACACCAGAACCATCCTTCCCATCACAGTACAAGGATGCCAGAACCATCCTTCCCATCACAGTACTAGGACACCAGAACCGTCCTTCCCATCACAGTACTAGGACACCAGAACCATCCTTCCCATCACAGTACTAGGACACCAGACCCGTCCTTCCCATCACGGTACTAGGACATTAGAACCGTCCTTCCCATCACGGTACTAGGACACCAGAACCGTCCTTCCCGTCACGGTACTAGGACACCAGAACCGTCCTTCCCGTCACGGTACTAGGACACCAGAACCGTCCTTCCCATCACGGTACTAGGACACCAGAACCATCCTTCCCATCACGGTACTAGGTCACCAGAACCATCCTTCCCGTCACGGTACTAGGACACCAGAACCGTCCTTCCCATCACGGTACTAGGACACCAGAACCATCCTTCCCGTCACGGTACTAGGACACCAGAACCGTCCTTCCCATCACACTACTAGGTCACCAGAACCGTCCTTCCCATCACAGTACTAGGACACCAGAACCATCCTTCCCATCACAGTACTAGGACACCAGAACCATCCTTCCCATCACAGTACTAGGACACCAGAACCATCCTTCCCATCACAGTACTAGGACACCAGAACCGTCCTTCCCATCACAGTACTAGGACACCAGAACCGTCCTTCCCATCACAGTACTAGGACACCAGAACCATCCTTCCCATCACAGTACTAGGACACCAGAACCGTCCTTCCCATCACAGTACTAAGACACCAGAACCGTCCTTCCCGTCACAGTACTAAGACACCAGAACCGTCCTTCCCGTCACAGTACTAAGACACCAGAACCGTCCTTCCCGTCACAGTACTAGGACACCAGAACCGTCCTTCCCGTCACAGTACAAGGATGCCAGAACCGTCCTTCCCATCACAGTACTAGGACACCAGAACCGTCCTTCCCGTCACAGTACAAGGATGCCAAAACCGTCCTTCCCATCACGGTACTAGGACACCAGAACCGTCCTTCCCATCACAGTACTAGGACACCAGAACCATCCATCCCATCACAGTACAAGGATACCAGAACCGTCCTTCCCATCACAGTACTAGGACACCAGAACCATCCTTCCCATCACAGTACTAGGACACCAGAACCATCCTTCCCATCACAGTACTAGGACACCAGAACCATCCTTCCCATCACAGTACAAGGATGCCAGAACCATCCTTCCCATCACAGTACTAGGACACCAGAACCGTCCTTCCCATCACAGTACTAGGACACCAGAACCATCCTTCCCATCACAGTACTAGGACACCAGAACCGTCCTTCCCATCACGGTACTAAGACATTAGAACCGTCCTTCCCATCACGGTACTAGGACACCAGAACCGTCCTTCCCGTCACGGTACTAGGACACCAGAACCGTCCTTCCCGTCACGGTACTAGGACACCAGAACCGTCCTTCCCATCACGGTACTAGGACACCAGAACCATCCTTCCCATCACGGTACTAGGACACCAGAACCATCCTTCCCGTCACGGTACTAGGACACCAGAACCGTCCTTCCCATCACGGTACTAGGACACCAGAACCATCCTTCCCGTCACGGTACTAGGACACCAGAACCGTCCTTCCCATCACACTACTAGGTCACCAGAACCGTCCTTCCCATCACAGTACTAGGACACCAGAACCATCCTTCCCATCACAGTACTAGGACACCAGAACCGTCCTTCCCATCACAGTACTAGGACACCAGAACCATCCTTCCCATCACAGTACTAGGACACCAGAACCGTCCTTCCCATCACAGTACTAGGACACCAGAACCGTCCTTCCCATCACAGTACTAGGACACCAGAACCATCCTTCCCATCACAGTACTAGGACACCAGAACCGTCCTTCCCATCACAGTACTAAGACACCAGAACCGTCCTTCCCGTCACAGTACTAAGACACCAGAACCGTCCTTCCCGTCACAGTACTAAGACACCAGAACCGTCCTTCCCGTCACAGTACTAGGTCGCCAGAAACATCCTTCCCATCACGGTACTAGGACACCAGAACCATCCTTCCCATCACGGTACTAGGACATTAGAACCGTCCTTCCCATCACGGTACTAGGACACCAGAACCATCCATCCCGTCACGGTACTAGGACACCAGAACCATCCATCCCGTCACGGTACTAGGACACCAGAACCGTCCTTTCCATCACGGTACTAGGACACCAGAACCATCCTTCCCATCACAGTACTAGGTCGCCAGAACCATCCTTCCCATCACGGTACTAGGACACCAGAACCATCCTTCCCATCACAGTACTAGGACACCAAAACCGTCCTTCCCATCACAGTACTAGGTCGCCAGAACCATCCTTCCCATCACGGTACTAGGACACCAGAACCATCCTTCCCATCACAGTACTAGGACACCAGAACCATCCTTCCCATCACAGTACTAAGACACCAGAACCGTCCTTCCCGTCACAGTACTAGGACACCAGAACCATCCTTCCCATCACAGTACTAGGACACCAGAACCATCCTTCCCATCACGGTACTAGGACACCAGAACCATCCTTCCCGTCACGGTACTAGGACACCAGAACCGTCCTTCCCATCACGGTACTAGGACACCAGAACCGTCCTTCCCGTCACAGTACAAGGATGCCAGAACCGTCCTTCCCATCACAGTACTAGGACACCAGAACCGTCCTTCCCGTCACAGTACAAGGATGCCAAAACCGTCCTTCCCATCACGGTACTAGGACACCAGAACCGTCCTTCCCATCACAGTACTAGGACACCAGAACCATCCATCCCATCACAGTACAAGGATGCCAGAACCGTCCTTCCCATCACAGTACTAGGACACCAGAACCATCCTTCCCATCACAGTACTAGGACACCAGAACCATCCTTCCCATCACAGTACTAGGACACCAGAACCATCCTTCCCATCACAGTACAAGGATGCCAGAACCATCCTTCCCATCACAGTACTAGGACACCAGAACCGTCCTTCCCATCACAGTACTAGGACACCAGAACCATCCTTCCCATCACAGTACTAGGACACCAGAACCGTCCTTCC